CAATTAAGCATATATGGCAAGGAGGCATGGCTCACTCCTCTGCAGTTTAAATTTAGAATTGTTATCAGTCACACAAACATTACCACATGCTACAATCTACACGTGCACTCTAGCAGACGATATTCTTCTTTCAGTGTAAAGAATCACTTTGTTTAGAGGGCTCAATTTACTAAATAATCCTGAATAAAAAAAACTGCTTGATCTTACAAGATTTTTTAAATATTTATAATTAATATCTGTTTCACTGTATATTTTATAAATTACTTATTTGAAGACATTTATGATTCAACTTTAAGTGAAAAGTGCAGATATTTGTCTTTTCCAGATGTTTTCTCTGTAGCTGAATGTAGGGGGTTTGTAGATCTTTTTTCCTTTTCTACTTCTTGGAGCATTTGCTCTGGGTGGATTCCATACAGAGGTAAACTCTCTGTCCACATTTTCGTTCCAATGACAGACTGCTAGATTTGATCGCGCTCTGTATCCCTTGTCACTAAATGCAATTCTTTTGTCCTGAAACATGTTCATAGTATTGTTGAAACTTTCTACATAATATGTATCCTTTGCAAGTACATAATCCTGTGGGTATCTATACAAATTTGAACTAGTTATTACACCACGTAACAATTTTTCTGACACTTTATCACATATTACAAGTCTTGATGGCTCATAATTTGGATCTGTTTTGCACCGTGATGTAGGATGACAATCAGAATGATTTCCTTTATAATGTTCAATGATATTCAAAAGGAGATCTTGTAATTTTTGGGGATTTTGATCGCAGTTTCTAATTGCCCAGTGGCAGTGAGTGGCAACTGGCTCAACTTTATCATATAGATATTCAGACCAAGTTTTCCCCTTCTGATATGCTGGTCCACTTGAAATTTTTTTCATTTTCTCTTTAATACTTTTAACTCCATGCCAAGTATCATTTTGATTCGTTGTTCCTCCTAATTCTCGAACAAATTTATTGATGGAGATATTTCGATCATGAATATGAACATCAACTGAAACACCTTGCTCATCAAGATAGTTGTAGATTCTCTCCGTTCCAAGTTTCTCGTGTCTTTGAGATACTGGATCGTCCACTTTGGTGACATGTTCACACTTTATTACTTGGTGTGTTTTCTCTCCTAACGCCACAACACTTGAGTCTTTGGCATTTTTTCCCCATCCATGCCGAGCATCTGTCATGATGTTAATTCCGTCATCATCGCTGCATCCTACTTCTCCCCAAAGCGCCATGTTAATACTGTCTTCATATTCTGATTCAATAAATGGATAGATATTCTGTAAGCATTTGTCACGATTACTTTGGTTGATGGTACCAATTTTAGCTCCCTTTGAAAATCTGACGTAATGAACAGGCAACATTCCACTACAAGCAAATCCATGAATAACTCTTTTATTCACCAAATATTCATTATTTGGTAAGTATGGAGATGAAGACCACAAAAGGCTATGATGTTTTTGAATTCTACAATTAAATCTTGCTGCAGCAACATGTCCCTTTTCGGTAATCTTTTTTAATGAAAGATCACCATTACAGAATTTGGAATGATTTTCCACCACTTTTACTAAACGTCTTAGTGATGATTCTGCAGTAAGGAAAATTTTCTGGTTAGAATCCTTTTCCTGTACCTGAATGTATGTGTTCAAGTCCAAGGTCTCCATAGCCACATTTGCTTGTTCATCTTCTCTGTCATATTTCTCTAAGAATGTTTTCAAAACCTTTTCTAGGATCTCTGCATTATTTACAGGATGATTCAGCTGTCTCACTAAAATATCTCTTGCTTTATGAAGAAGAGAAAGTATTTCATTTTTTTGTTGGTCATCTCCAGGAATTGATATTTTAAATGAAGGTGGACGTTTTTTGGTTGTAGAATCCATATTGTATGATCAGTAATAATTCAGAAACTTTAGAGATCATTGAATGCTAGCAGTAAGCCCAACTTCAATTGGTGCAAGGGGATTTCAAGTTGAAAAAATTCTATGATTTTTCTGGTTTTATTATGGATGCTAATTCATTGAAAAGCAGAGCAAATAAAGTTCAATGAATGTCAAAAGATTTGTTATTAATTTATTTAAAAAACTCTTAATAAGTAACCTTTAATTTTTGGAAAAGTTTTCAACCCCCCTACCAAATAAAATGAAACATTCTGCTGCTGAAAAAAGAGATTGCAATATGAACTCTGAACCCAAGTGACATTTTATGGAGCGATGTTTGGTAGGAACAATTGGGGTAATATAATTTTATTAAAATAAAAAACAGTGATATTTGTCCCCCATGAAATGGTTTAGAACTGGGGAAACAGGGGAATTTCATAAAAAAAGAAATCCAAAACAATCATCTTTCAAATAATTTTTAAAATGACATTTTACATGTAATATTTATTTACTAATTTATTGATTACTATTATAGTATATCTTTCCTCTATGTCCCCCTCCCATATCATTGTTTGGCATCTGCACTGGCTAAAGTTGCTAATGGGCATTAAATCAGAGTAACTTGACATTTACGCGCGAAAACTTTGACAGTATCTGAAATCTAAAAATGGCAAGCAAGCGGCAGGTTTTAATGGAATTGAGTGATGATCAGTTAGAAAATATAAGAGGTGTTTTCCATCACTTTGATTGGGATTTTGATTCAGCAGTAATTTCAGATAGTAACTCTTTAGTGAATGTCGAGACTCAGACCGATTCACCAGAACATGAAATAAATGACAACAATGAGTTCGTAAATGAGCCTTTCAGAATTCAACAGGATCCTAATAGTTCAGAGTGTATATATTGTTTCTGTAGACCATGTATCACTGATGAAGTAAATAGGCAGATGTGGTGGGAAACTGACCCTCACCCAAAACATAGAAGAAACAGAAATTTGCGCAAAGAAATGTACAAAAGATTTTGGACTATGATGTATCATAGAGATATCTGGAATCACCCTAGATATGTTGAGAAAAAAAGAAGGGCATTAGAACAAGACCAAAGATACAGGAATTTAGTGTGGCATCGTAGAGACATAATGCCAGATTGTGTAATAAAATGTGTGAGGGGCTGGTTTCCCAATCCTGACAACATTCCATACATGGGCCACCTGTGGGAGTAATATTACTGATTCAGAAGTTCAAGGTGATGATTCGGGGATGTTTTCCCGCATTTTTCTACCAATGTGCTCTGCCTGCGAGGCACAGAAAGGGTCTTTATAATCACGTTAACAATAACTCGCTATATAAACAATAGAATTTATTGTATTCATCATTATATTTGAAAGTTTGTAATTATAGTTTTTATATAAATTCAATAGTTATGCCTTGGTTAACTAATTCAATATTTATTAAGATGATCCTTTCTGTACCTTTCAATGCTGAGCAGGTCAGACTCAGAGTGCAATGAAACTGAAGAACAACATGTGTATCGAAGGATTATTCAGGAGACATTATACATGTAATATTACTGAGCTTTCAGTTTTAACATAATGTAATGAACACTTTGGAGTGAAAATATTTGTTTTGGATCAGAGGGATGAGTTATTTCAAGACTAACACTGGGGATGGTTACCTAAACTGAGTTTTCTCTCACTCAGACTGGGCAGTATTGTGATTGCGGGAATTACTTTTCATATTCACCATTCATTTTAAATGGAACAAATTGAAATACATTGGATTTACTAATAAATGTGAGTAAATCTAAATATTTTATTCCTTTTAACAGAGAATAACATGTACCCATACACATTATTGGTTCATTTTGGCGCCATCACTACACAGACATGCCTTTGCAATGTGAGTGAGTCAACATCCGGTGTAAACAATAACAAATAGAAATCACGCCCACAAACTGCCAATCTCTAGTTTGAAATACAAAATCAGCCCTGCTTCAATTTTTTGAAGCCAAAATTAAAATTTAAAAAGTATTTATATGTAAAATAAATCTGGCAAATAAATGCCCAGTGATGAGAGGGACTGGCATAACAATTTTGAAATGATAATAAAATAGCTGAATCTTGATTTCTGCAAAATAAGTGCTGCAATCTGAATGTGACCAGAAAATTCATAACTTCCACCATTTTCACCGATTGGTTGCTTTTATACCCAATTGCTGTTCTATCTTATGGGATTTGCATTTCATTTCTATACATATGTTAAAGTGACTCATGCAGATTTAGTTCAGAAATGAGAATCTGGTGAGGATTAGCAGAATTTTCCTTTGACTGATGGCAAACAGATATCAGCTGATAATTACCTCAAAAACATCACAGATTATTTTTCATAGAATATACATAGTCATCAGAGATTATAACAATAGCGTCGATAATGTAATACCACCATGTTATAACGCTTCAACTGTCTCTCATACCCTGACCTGATTTTTCCAAAGGAAACTTGATTCAAATTTTGCAACGGAAATACCATAATCACAATGATTAGGCCCCTCACTATCAGTAACTGCAAGTATATCTGCATTGTCATCAAATGGGTCCAAGTCAATTAGGGAAGCTTTGTTGTCCAAAAAAATTAAAATATCTATTGTTGATCCATGTTGCTCATAATTAGAGCAATTTGCTTTATACATTAATAATACCAGGTAGAAAGGGGATTAAAGGAAATGTTATTTAAGAATTTCAATGAATACAGTTTTTTAAAAAAGAAAATGAAAAAGAAAATTTGTACAGGTGGGTTGTTATATCTATGGGGGTAATACACACTGGTGTTACTGATACCTTTTCAACATTGTGTGAAACAACCATCGACACGCGCTGTCTTGTAATCCCTATATGACATTAGCAGAATTTGTTTCTATTATACGGTGTTTAGATGTCTAAAAGAGCACATCATATGACATCATTTTGTAATAATATACACAAAAAATATCTCCATTTTATAAGATTCATGACGTTAATATTTTATACTTTCTATACAAATCAGTATTGATATTCCTATAATAACCCGTAGAAATGAGGTCAGTGGCTTATTAGTCAGTTTTACCCCTCTTTTTTACAGGGCTTCAGAAGAATCCATGATGTAGTGTAGCTGAACCAGACAGGCAACATGAACTGGCGAGTTCATATGTTCAAGTTGTATCAACATACATGAGGTACCTCTCTTAGTTCATTAACTGTTATTATCAGGGAAGGATGAAATCTTCCCATCAGGCAGGAATTGCTTCTGTCTGCTGAAAAAAAGAAGGTCAAGGTCATTTCAACTTTTGGAGCAGATGTTGCCTCTGGGTTAGTGCTGGCTTCCATTCTGTTTGACTTGGAAACTCCTTTTATAAGCTGGAGTTTTATAGTCACTTAACCACCCGCTATCTGACAACATGAGACTGTCTTTACTTTTATTCAGTCATTTGAGGGATAGTATGAGACATTTCAAGTACTGTTAAGGGACCAAGGCTGTCTGGTTTAATGTGACTTGTACTGATAACAGTCACACTGAAAATTTATTAAAACCTAATTGAGTAGTCTGTTGTTACATTAAGAGTGGGAGAAAAATCCAGAACGAGAAGAGAATGGTCCGTCTCTGTGCCTTGACAGGGGTATCAAACATAGCCAGGTGAACTTTTTTCCACTTTAGTCATTTTACGTAGTTTGGGGTTTTTAAATGTCTGATTATTTGGAAAGAAAGGACTAACGGGGTATATATTCATAAATTGCCCTGGCTTAGTGAAAAGAATCTCTAAGACTTTCAATTTGTTTTCTCTGTAATCATGGCCATTTTTCAATAAGAAGCTGGGATTAGCTTATTCTTTTGATGATAGCACCTGCTACAGATACATTTATATACCTATATTGCCATTATTTGGGTATTCTGTGACTTACACCTGAATACAAGCTTGATTAGGAAGGGTAATGGAAGGTTCACCCTCATCGTTTTTATAGATACTGAAGTATTTCTTTAATAAGAGTGCTGATTTATTGGCAAGAACATTTCAATAACAATTTCAGCTAATGTAGATAGGAGGGTTTTTTACAGTGATAAATTGGCAGATGATCTTCATGCGGTCAGGGAGCAAATAGTGAGGATGCTTTCTATTTCATTTATTTGTAATCCCCAATTCATTAGCTTTGACAGGTGTTTCCGACATGGTCAAGAATTTGTTACTATAAATTTACAGTGCTACTTGGATGCAAAACATTAATTTGCTCAATTTGATAATAAATGCACTTTAAGTTTTGACATTATATTTCAATCATCATGTTTGGACATTTACTTTAAAACTGTGGGAACAAATGAGAATTTTTTTCCCCAAAATTTGAATCTTTTTCAAGATGTAATAGTTTTCTAAAAGTAGAATAAAGACATGACTTTTCTTCATAACCTTTAATTTTGGATATATCTAAAGATAGAAAGAAAGGTTTTTCTTATGAATATGTAAATTAAGGCCAGGCATACTGTAATATTTTGATTTCTGTAGAAAAGTCAAAATTTCCTTGTAGATAATTATAGGAACTGATAGGTGCCTTGCCTGACTGCCACCTAAATTGTATTGCTGTGGGGCGGGCTATTTTTATACCTGATGTCAGCCTGTGCTAATCAGTGTTTTGGTTTTTCGGCAATGTCTTTTACCTGTACTTTGCGTGTTTTACATTATGTAAGACAGAGATTATCCACTTTGGACTTCTTTCTGACCTTCTAGGACTGAGGTTAGGTAGATAAGACATGACAAACCAGTAAATAAGGACCTTAAATTCTGAATGTGGTGATTAATACCTTAATATGCACTAAAATTAATTTGCATTCATTAAAAGTTTAGTTTATTTAGTTGTTTATAAAGTTTATTTTCAGCATAATAGAAACTTACTGGTTAATTTAAAATTTATGTAATAGAGTATGTTAATGAAGTATTAAGTGGAAATTGGAGATATACGGAGATGTACATGAAATTAGTGAGGATGTGCAAGTAGAATTATATGTTATAATTCATATTCATGCTTTCCATAAGGTGTTACTTGCATGCTGAGTAGACATGCCAAAATCACTGGCCCCACTTGTTTGACTTTCCAACACTTACTTATCCAATTGATGTCATACCCACCATCTGTCATTGTGATTTGTTAATCCCCTCTTCCCAGCAGCTGACAGCTTTCTTTACCTATGAAAATGCCACCATTTAAAAACTTGCTATTCTGACTACCCGGAGGAACCGGGGTGGCTTAATGAACCACTCTGGAGGCCAAGACTATTTACACCTTCCAGAGCTGAAGTAGCGGTCTGAGAACCATCTGTTGTGGTTATGTCAAAAGTATATACTTTTCTCACTAAAATGTTAATTATGCATGGTCCCCCTTTTTTCCAAATGATAATTGGGAAGCCAAGTGACGTTCTTACTGCTTGCATCCTGATTGTGGTTTTGGGGGCTTTTTATTTTGAATGTACAAACCTCTGACAGCTGTATACTTGTATTGTGAGGAGCAGGTGATTTTTAAGAATGCCTGGGTCTATCTAAATACCCCATATGGCTTTTTCCCTGACCTGGGTATTTGTGTATTCAAGAATTAATTCTTATCAGGGCGATTTTTAAATTCATGGTGAAAATTGTATACAACATAACAGTTTTCTGTGACTATTATAAAGTTATTTTATTTGGTTATAAGGGCTATCAAGTAAAGATTTTAACAGTATTAACAGTTGGCAATTTCTCCCAAAGCTTTTAAATTGTAAATAAATATGCATCAGTAATCATAAGCTAGCATGTAGATCTCTTGACCATTAACCAGCCGTTGGCTCTGTTTTCCATCTGTTTAAATATCACTTATTTTTCTTTCATCTTCATATCCTCCACTCAAATTTCTGGCACATATGTAAAATCAATTTTGATAACACCAATTTTTGTATGTTGCCGTGGTCACTGACTTCTGAACTCTTCTGATTGGTCAAGGGGTCCAATGGACCCTTAGTTGACCGTGTCATTATCCGCTAGCTATTCAAATCTCTAGATATTTTTATACCTGTTCAGCTGTCCTTTTGTAACCTTTTGCTTTAACCAACAAATACAATTAATGTATAACTTTGCACTGATTTTATGGTGCACTCTTATTTGAAAATAAAGAAAAAGCCAATAACTGTGGAAGCTAACTAGGATATGCACTCTTTTAATGAAAGTTCTTTTAAAAGAAAACAATTACGGCAGAAGTACATATTTTAAATTTTCAGTGTTCTAGGATCTGTACCAGATCCAAAAGTCCTTTAAATAAATTTACATTTAAACAGCAGATTTATATGCTATTAAGAAAAATAGATTGATGCCAAGCTTAGATAAAACATTCATCTAGCTCCAACAGAAGAACTGGTAAATTCAATAATATTTAGATATTGATTATCGGGTGTCTCAGGTATTACGTATTCGCCTTCACCTTATAAGTGACCTTGTTTACCCAGAGTACATCAGTATGATTTGCTGATTCATAAGTGAAGTCAGAAGGTGGGCTGCTCGGGGCCAAAAAGTATAGAATGATTTTATATTTTGTATAACGTGACCACATCAAACAGTCCTCTCATTGGGAACATCATCTGCTTCAATAAAGGCTTCAAGTCAAGTTAGTTTAAATCAAGTGAGAAATGAGGCACATTGTTCAAACTGAGGACTTGTCTCAAGGAAATTATAATCTAGGTTTTAGGTGTACTTGATAGTGTATCGAACTTATACATGATGCTGTTGGCTAGTGGATTTTATCCTAGATAAATATTGTTATATGTCACAGAAGAAATTCTGTGGGGACTACTGAAATAATCTTTAAAACTTGCTAATTCCTTTTAATATTTTTTTTTAATTTTGGTAATTAAAATGATTTATTATGTCTACCTGCCCATTCTGTATTATTATTAAATATACTTAAGGTACAAGGTCGAAGCTTTGGTGTGAAGCTGTAAATACAATTTATTACAAAAAGTCCAGGTAAAAAAAAAAAAAAAAGATTAGAGAGGCATTGTACCTTGCGAAAAGGTAGTTCAGGCAGAAATAAGTAGAACAAGAATTAGTCACAGTGTACAATGCTGACAAAAATTGGAGTAATCATTTTTTCATGGAAGGAAGATATTTTTCTATTATTTATTTAATATATTCTGTCAGTGTGCAAGTTTCTGGATTATAAAATGTAGCATATGTTTTTTTTCTCAAGATGTTATATGATTAATTAATATTAAAAAGAAAAGTTGCAAAGGCGTGACAAAAATTATTTTGTAGATATATATGTATAAAACTGACAGCTTATAAATAGTTTTATTTCTGACATATATACAGTGTTTTTGCCAAAAGAAAAAAAAATCTATATTAATTAGGTCATCCTTTCAAGCAGTCTATGAGAAGAGTAAGTTGTAGGTAGTATGAAAAAGGGGCAGATAGGGATAAAACAGATGGGAAAATTGGTAGAAGTTGGTGCACCGGAAAAGTGTTGCCATACTTATTCCCTACCAGTAAACAGAGTGCACGGTTATGATGTGTTTTTTGACTAGGGGTTCTTCATTCTGATTCATAACTAGATCTTATCGTAACATGAAAACAAGCCCTGAACATTAGATGAATATTAGATGCACTGTTAATTAGATGGGTTTACCTCTCATGGAACCCTCATTCATACATGCACTCGGAAACACCCCACTGCTTTTCAGCTTGGTGGGAAAACTTTCTTCATTAGAAATCTTTTAGTTAGGGTAATTTTTCCTTTAAAGCATCTGAAAGCAATTGCAGACTAAGTTAATGACTGAAGTTTTAATTTGAGATATGAAATACATCATGGCAAGTAACTGAGCCATAAGCAAGCACATTATTCTAGCAACACACACACACACTAAGTGTTTACCTTAAGATGTGTTCCATAATGAAAATGTTTATAAATTGCCAAAAAATCAGCCTTCATCTTCTTTTGATAAGAAATGATTTTGACAGACTTTATTAACAAAAACTGAAGTCAAAATAAAAATTATGTTAGCCCAGCTGCTCTTGTAAAAAATATTACAGAAAAAAAAATTTGTAAATATAATTTAAAATCCTTTTCATATTTTAGTATTTAGAAAGTGTGCACAGGAAGCTGTGGATTCTTCTTGTCATGCTAGTATTTTAATATGTCTTTTCAATTTGAGATCAATCCAGTATTTAGGGGTTAAGAAAACATGAAACAGCATATGTCAGAGTTCTTTGATCACTGAAAGTAAAGGCAAGCAGCCATTCTCCAAACTGACTTCAAAAGAACTGTGTTTCACAGCTAGAAAGCAATGTATAGGAAGACATTTCCAATTTGGAGTCTGCCTTTGACAGAGTTTGAAGGATTACCAATAAAACCAATGTACAAACTGCCACATTAGTCAGCCTGATTGGTGGTGGGTTTGACATGGTCAGCATTCATTGAGGCCCCCCTGCGTGGCCCCATAGTGGCCTCATTAGTGGCTTACAGTGGACAAATGATGACACTAATACAACCATCTTTCATAAAACCTCTCTTGGGATAATAAATTATTGTGATAATTGATTTATACACATCCCTATCCCCTCAGGTGCAGAAACCAAGATTTTAATGACCTTGACTCTCTGCATGCTGCAGTTCAAAAAATTTTACATCAATAATCTGGAGCAGAAAACACTCAGCAGGTAATGATATCTTTGCATACAGGAACGTGCGTAGCTTTAAAGACATAAGAATATCCTGCACTGTTTTTTTTTTTCATGCTTTTCTTTCTTTTTAAAATGATAGATTTCCTGCAGTTAATGTTTTTTAATGTTTTTTCCTCATCAGTACCTAAAAGTTAAAAGAAAAAATTTAATTGCTTTCGAGAGTATTTGTGAAATAGTTTCAGATCAAATTTGTTGGGCTAGGATTAAATATTTAGGAAAATTAACTCTATTATGGGATACACAAAGCTTTGAAGTGACAAATCTCACCAATTTCAACATAGACATGCAAGGGAAGTGGAATTTCTATAGGCAGTAGATGAAAAGCTGTAAACGGTTGAGGAGGGAGATTTACGGTGACAAACAGCAGCCAGCAATTGTTAAGGGCCACCAGTTAAGTTGAGACCGCTGACATGCGAGGTGCAAACGCTGACCCTTCGTGCTAACAGATGAACACAGTAGCCAGGCTCATAAAACAGGGAGACTCGTAAACTCTTTTTAATGCATAAACCCCTGTGTGGCAGTCAAAAAATTCCTGCCTTAAGATTAGTCTGTTTTATCACAAACCCTTCAGTTGCAAATCACCATAGGGGTAAAGAGAGAAAGATAATGCATAATTAGGCATATCTATTTTAATTAAGCTAGATCTAAATTTACCCAGATTGTTTACAGGTATCTTTGATTATTGATAAGTACCTATTTGCATTTTAATCTGGCAGTGATCTTGGGAGATGGAAACTTAATCAGAACAACCTGCAGTCAGCTTCCCAGCCCTGGCACTGACTTTACAATATCACCCCAGACAGGTTCAGATTATTTTTCACACACATGATGTTATTTAATTGCCTTAGATGTCTTGTATTTATTGGGCTTTTTGAAGTGGATGGGAAAACTGTTTTTATTTTGAGGGCCTGCATGGTTCTTCTCATTAGGAATCCAATTCCTCGCATGTGACAATTTTCTGATAAATCTGATGAAATATTAACAGTGAAATTGTTCATCTAACAGTATTATGATTCATGCTGGTGTGAGCTAGCTTTTTTCATTTTGTCCAAAATCCAACTGAATGAGACTTCGAGTTAATCTGGCAAGAATTGGCTCAGAGGCAGAAGACCCTACTGCCAGAGTCAATGTTCCAAGCATGACTTGTGATCAGTACGGACATGGCTTGGTGTATTGATTATCTGTGAGTAATGTACCTGTCACTTTGGGGAGATACAGAGGCAAAGGCACAAATCCCCTGGGCTTATTAACCATGCAAAGCCCCAGGGGGCGAAGGGATGACTACAGCTGTTAGTCATGTCCTGCCACAGGCTACACTAGTGTATTGACCAGCAAGATACATGTGAAACATTTTATTTCTGTAAATGAAATTATTTCCAGATGTTTGAGTCTTTGGGGGAAGTGTTGTTTTTAGTTTGAAACTTGAGGTCTCTGAGAGGGTTACAAGAAAATCCATTGAACTTTTCAGCATGTATTTTTTGCAAATTAATTGCATCTAGTCAGCAAAAATTAAATCTACACAGAAATCTGTCTCCAGGCCATGAAAAACAAGAATACAATTGCTGATTATTATTATTAAATAATGGAATCTAATTAATCTGACATTAAGTTGCATAAAGTTACCAATATAACCACATTACCAGGAACATATATTTTAATCCAATAAGTGAGTGAGAAGTTTGGTCAATAATATGCCCAGTTTATGGACATTTGTGACTCTAAATATGAAATATTCATCAGATTTCTTATTGCATCTCATGATCTGTTGCGTGAAGAACAGGGTTTTTTTTTTTCATGGTCATAGCGTGGCCATCATCCCTGGTTATTACTGAGAAGGTGAACTTTTTTATTTTAATGGATAGATTTTGGGTGAAAGAAAGGCATTAAGTGTGGCAGACAAGGATCAGCTTTTTGTTGGGGTGGTAGTGTATGGTAAGAAGAGATTTTATAGTGCCAATACACACTAGTGGGACTACACAAAGTTAATTGATGGGGACTTAATCCTATTTTTCTTATTCTCTGTCATCATAATCATTCTCTCTAAAAAAAAAAAAAAAAGGTTTGATGAATTGAAAAATGCATTTAGGTCCTAAAACACATAAATCTGTACAGGGAAACTCAGATCCTGTGCAAACATACCTTACTCTGTTGGAAAAACAACTGCACTGAATAATTAAATTTCCCTCAATTATTTTCTTCTTTTTCAATATTCCCCTCACACCTGTGAAAATATGAACTATCATTTGTCTTCTTTAAGATTATCCACTGTCAGAAAATCAAGCCACTTGATTTTTAAACCATAAAGTATTTAAAATTTTTATTCTCTTTTATCTGAATACAGATTTACACTTCCCTTGGCCTTCTGCTAGGAAATCTTGCATCACTTATGGGGTAAAATATAAGCATTATTAAGGTATTTAAAGAAAAAACAAAATACAGGTTTAATTTACATGTAATGTATTAACAGTGAAAAGCAGATAAGAGAATATATATAGGTCAGATTTTTAGTGTCACTCTCATCCCTCCTGGCTCCACACATTTCAGCCATTGTCCAGAAGTAATAAAATTACTTGGGTGGCACATTTATTGGAGCAGGATTTTTATGAGGAGCCTCCTCTTTCCTCCTAATCAAAACCAAAAAAAAAAAAAAAAAATTTCCCATCTTGCAAAGTTTTACAGCATCTGAAGCGACTGTTGATAGAAAAGGTCTTCAACTGCTAAGGAAATTCTTTTTTCATGGCAAATGTACCCTGGAGATCAAGTGTTCAATCTATTTTGACTGTAATGGAAGAGTTAAGATATTAAGTTAGAGGAAAAATGAACTTTTGCTGCCAAGTGAAAATGCTACAGCAATATTGAGCATGTAGAGAAATGTACACATTTATATTACAAATCTATTAACAGTGTATAGATAGAATTCCTTGTTTAATGTTCTGTTGTCATTCTGGGGTCTGGATAGTGTAACTCCAGGAATTACTAGGCTGAAACATACGAGAGTTCTTTACTCTCCGCTTCCAGGTTTTTTGGAAAGGTCTCAAGGTTCAAAGATTCTTGTGGCATTGTCAGCAGGCACACACTAATCAAAACAGCAGCAAGAGCAAAGGCCAAGATTAGTCAAATGACCTTGTTAACAAATTTATATTTTCATTTCATTTAGGGGCTAAAATTAGATTCAGCCATTAGCTGCAAGGTCTTGCTGGGGTTGCCCCTTCTGAACCCCTTCTATATCCTCTGCTTGTATTAGATTTCACCCTCAGATTGTGCTCACTCTGTCCTCTCTTTTTTCAGACTAGTAATGAGGACTTGGTGCAAGAGAAGCTGATAAGGACAATTTCTAATCCCATGCATGGAATCCATCAAAACAGAAGTGTGTCACCCTGGTTACAGCTACTAGAAAGGGCAGGGAGGCAGAATCGGGAATAAAAGTGCCACTTGTCACCCCCATCTTTCTCTCCTACCATCTTGCAATAGGACAACTGCCTGCATTATCAAACTCTCAGTGACGAACAATTACTCCTTTTTTTCCTATCATTATGCTGATGAATCAGCAATTTATATTGATTTCTCCATTAAAAAAGGAAACTTTTATCCATTGCCATATGTTTGTTTTGTTTCAGTGATTAAATTCTTGAACTTGAATACTGACATATTTTTTTTGTCTAAAAGTTGCCTTTAATATGGTTTGTTGGCAGTGATTGGTCATTATGAGAATTTTGGGGCATTGGCAGACATCAGTTGTCCCAAGGCTAATGTGACCTTTTTCACACCTATATCAGTTTCATGGTGTAGACAAGGCAATGGCCCTCAGAAGTATTTCAGCACATTTTATTTGGCACATTTTCAGTAAAAACCTTCAGTTAAAATCAAAAAGGTCTTAATGTCAGAGTTTTTCAGATCAAAAAAGTAAAGTAATTGATCATATGGAAATTGCATGCAAATACACATATGATTATATATTGTCAGGTTGTATAATAAAAAAAAACTAAAACTAAAAAAAATATGTTGTTTGCCCTCTCCTTACTGGGATAAGAAAAAGATTTGGTTAGTAGGTAGGTAGGAATATTTTTTCCAGAAAAATTCCAACATCAGTGTTGAATTTTATTTATTGAAATTGAAGATGTTAATAAAATCAAAATAGTTGTTGACAGAATGAGAAAATTAAGGAATGATTAAAAAAAATCTAGGGGTTTAAAAAAAAAATTGAATTGGACCATTTTTAGTAAGGAGAGGACAGATATTTTTTTTAAGATGGCCTAATACAGAAAAATTGCCCCCTCCCCCTTTCAAAGATTTTGAAATCTGATGGGGAAAAACTCTGTTAACATAGCTTTAGTGTAATGAATTTCTGTTAATAGATGAAGTCAATAGTAAATAATTAGGTTACATTTTAAAATCCTGGTATTTACATCATACCTTTTAGGACCCTCCCTCCATTAAAAAAACGGGGGGGGGGGGGGGTCCTTGCAATAACTGTATAACAGTGAGTTACGAACAGGTCTGATAGATTACAGGTAATGGACCATGGATAGAAATATTGTTCAAAAGCCAGGATAAAGGGGGGGGGGGGGGATCAGGAATTTACTTTAAACATAGGTTTCCATGAGATGTCTTGCAGCTTTCTGAGAGAAGACTTTGGTCATCTGCCAGGCCAGTTATCATTCCTTTCTCACCTGTACAGAATATTGACTAAAGGATGACCCACAGCCAAAAACCAGCACTTGAGAGAGAGGTCATTTCAGGCCATTAGCATGTGTTTTTACGAATTAATATACCACTGCATAGGTAGTCAACGCAAGAAAATCGCTGAGCTGAATTTTATAACACGGAAATAATGATTGCTTGAGGCAGTACATGTATATATCTATGTAAACTTTGCCTCTGTTCCCTCGGTGTCTATGAAAACGCATAAAAAGTAGTCTTCCAAAATTAAAGCTGTGTATCCTTTCGAAGGTCGATATTATCATGCAGACAACACACTATTACAGGCTTTTGCACTTACCATGCTATACATGGTGGTTATTATGTCACTTGCAGCATCAAAACTGATCATTTTTAGATCGCGTTTTCTGCATGTATAAATCTGTATTACCCAACAACTTAATTTGCGTTAATATTAGTAAATAGCACTTGAAATGGTACCCAACGTTTATGACTTTAAATGAGTCTATATTTGTCGAACAAATGACGGTGTAAATCAGTGTGATCGGACACGCAATTGGTTATGATGCCTGTCGGCATGTGAATAGCTACACAGATTCAATATATTGCTTAATTTGGGCTTAAAGCATGAACAGATAATATGATCATGTCAACACTATAGCCATTTTCTGTGGTCATTTGAAATTTGGTTGCCTTTGATTTCGCCGTTCAATGATTGCCCATGCGTTATCGGCTTGTCGCGGTGGTATTTGTCTGCTAGTCGGGCTAGTAATGTTGGACACCCTTGAGACGGAACTGGCGAATGTTTGACGGCTTTGAGCAGGTGGTCACCGTAATAGAAGCCACTGTAAATAAGAATCGACGGGAGTCCATGGCGGCTATATAATCCCCAATTACAGTCAACTTTAAGGGGTTTTGCTATAACGTGGAACAGAATACTGTATATAATATATTTAGATTAAAAGAACAAAAAAAAAAAAAAACATCCAATGGCCAACGTAAGCAATTATTACATGGGGGAGAAGGGGACAAGTCTCTGTGTGTGTGTGTGTGTGTGTGTGGAAACAGAATGCAGCTCTATTTGCATTTTCTCCAGTACACCCAATTCCAGTACCGCACGATGAAATATGTATATGCATTGCTAACCATTTTCACTAGCTGAAGTACAGAAGGCCAGTAGCTAGTTCGATACATGTCTTCACATTTCCAATCACTCCTTTCTGAATAAGTATATTGCGCATGATTAATTTTTCAACTTATCCTGTTTTAAATATATATTAAAGTTACTAATTTTCAGGTGAAGGTTTAGTTATTTATTATAATGGTGTTTACAACACTTTCTGGGTCACGAATCTTTTGTAAAATGACTATATATCATTAGAAATTTTAGGAACTGCGAAAGTTTGTCTGCCGTCGATGTTAATTTACATGCTAAACAATTGTACAGTATCCTATTCGACGTTCTCTTAAAGGGAATAAAAGTTTCATATGTATAACAATAAGTAATATCAGCGGGAAATGTCTACATTGTTGAATTTATTAAACTTTAAGCGTCATTTTTTTTAAGGACTGTATATGCATATTTTAATATATCGCCAAAGTACAGTAAAATCACAAAATTATTTTTACATGATAAAGAACAAGTGTTAATTTTTGTACAAATTACAGGAAAGAAGCAGTTTTGTGGTCAACAGTAGTTCTATTTTGGTTGAGGACTTTAATTGTAGAAATGTTAGCTTGACGCAAATGTCGGTGTTGTAAAATGCGTATGATTCAAAAGGGTCTTCCGTGACTAGATTTATCTTGTCCGTTTTGCTTCCCATGCTGATGGGTTGGTGAAGAGCTATGTAAGTGGTGAAGATAAGAAAATTCATTCGAACAATATCACACATTGTTTTACAAGATGGTCATCTAACTTTAGGATGAAAGTCGCTTTGAAGGGCTCTTAAAGTTAATTTTGTACGTGCTTTTCAAAACAGTTATTCAAAATCTTGTCATATCTGTCTAAGCCCAAAAAGGGGTGAATGTCTCGTGCATTACTAATGTGGGCCATTTCTGTCATCACAATACATTTTTCTGACGTTGGATGCAATACGAGTAATTCGCTCTTTTCATTAACGCTTTTTAAAACTTGGCGGTGCTCGGGAAAAAAAAGGTCAAATTACGTCATACTGATTATTTGGGTTGGTCACGTTTACGTGGTTATTAGTATTTTATTTTCAGAAATACCTTATAACCGATTGGATATTGACCAGTGTAAGTCAGCTTTTCTTATTAGATGGGGTATGTTAGATTATTTTCCATAATGCTTTTACGATGTGGGAAGGTTGCCATGGATAAGGACGTTACATTTTCGTAATCAATTTAAACATTGCTGCAGGAATTTGAAATGATAATGAACATTGTCAAACTTTAATATAAGTGAGGGACGGACGCGTTGTATTATGTGTCATGCAATCTTTTTCCCTGGAGCGAAATAGACAATTTGCCAAGTTTTTGTATAAAAGAAGGGTAGACCTATATATGTCTTTTCCGTTGTCATTAGAATACCTACATTTTTAAATAACATCATTTATAATGGTCAACGACCCGCTTTGCGTAGAAAAAGACTGACACATAAAAAGAAAACCATCAATGATTTTGGGTTTGATATATAATTCGTTGCCAACGCAAGTAGATTGATTCAGCGGCTGTTTGCGATAAATGTAGTTGATAGCCGCGATAACCTATTGAAACATATACTTGGCAATTAATTCGAGATTTAGTGGAGAATTGGGGGATTCTAATCCGTTTCCCCCCCCCCCCTTCTTGTAATAATTATCGTTCGTTTATATTGTTCAAAACCGTTTACACTACAGTAGATATTGTCATTTCTAAACTGGGAGGTAAAAATTGGGCAAAAGATGTTTCTAATAAATGAAATGAGGGGAAAAAGTTGAGGATTTAGAATCTGATATCATGACATTAAAGGCATAAGAATAACCTCGAGTAGGATTAAAAACAAAATTTCATCTAGTCGGAATTCAGCTCTACACTTTAATTAAGATTTTATGTAAAAGGAAAGAGTAAATTTGAAAGTTTTGGAAACAGAAGGAAGGAAAATGGCGATTCAAATATCACGAGCTTTGGAGATGTATAAATCTTGAATTTTACATCCTTGTTCTAATTGTGATTTTTAACATGAAATAAATTACTATGAATTTGGCTTTAAATTAAGTCGATTTTTATTTTGCATTGATTACATCATTTCACACTTTAAGTAAAAAAAAGAAGAGTTTTTGAAACCGGCAAGTGTTCTATTTATTTAAAAGCATGAAAGTCATCAAAATAATGAAATGACGTATAGCTTTAGGACATATGTCTTGGAATCGTATTTTCGTTATCCAAAGCAGTTTTTTTATGAGTGATACTGACATCACATTAGGATATATATCATTATTCTTTTATCTACATACAAATTGGGATTTAGATTAACTTTTGCACGGAAAGGGGGTCATTGTTGAATGAAGTACTGTGTAAGAAGAAACATACAAAAAAAAAAATTCCACGAAAGTGTCAAAATTTATCATAATTACGTAAAAAAAAAAATCATGTACTTTATAATACTATCCTGTCTTAATACTATTATCATTTCTTTTACTGTAAGTCCTTTATTAAATGTATAATTGTAATTTAATTTCTTATATAATGCTCTTTAACATTTATAGGTAAATGAACCTTTTCCGCTTTACAATTTATATTAAGGTAAGACATGTTTAAGGATTGCCCAATGGATATTTAATTTTTTTTTCTGTTTTATTTCCTCCTTAATATGGAAATTTTAAACAATGAGTAAATTGTACAAATAAACATAATATTTTTTCTGTGTTTTGTTCATTGATGTTTAATACGCGTATTTTTGTCACCGAAGATCATGCACTACTCTCCGACAAAAGAACAGTAAATAAGAGCGTCGTCACTGCATATGCATGTTAATGTTT